ATATATATATATACTGATACATGATAATACAATGAAATGTCCGGGTACTGAAAACTCAATATTCCATGTTTTTATTTGAACAGGAGATTCGAGAGACATTTGAAGCCGAGGCGAAAGAGAACCGCTTACCCCGTCTGTTGTTAACTGCTGCTGTTTCTGCTGGAGCCGAAAATATTCAGGGTGGTTATGACGTGCCTGCTGTTGCAGCGTAAGTTTATGAGGAAAGTGTAGGCTTAGCTCTTAGTTATCTAAGTTGTTATATGAGGAGAGTGTAGGCTTAGCTCCTAGTTATCTAAGTTGTTATATGAGGAGAGAGTAGGTTTAGCTCCTAGTTATCTAAGTTGTTATATGAGGAGAGTGTAGGCTTAGCTCCAAGTTATCTAAGTTGTTATATGAGGAGAGTGTAGGCTTAGCTCCTAGTTATCTAAGTTGTTATATGAGGAGAGAGTAGGCTTAGCTCCTAGTTATCTAAGTTGTTATTTGTCATGTAGAGATAAGTTAAAGATGTTATTTGAGAGATAAGTTTTGTTAAATAAAATGAACACAAGAGCTGACACTGCCATCTATGATGAGATGACCTGGTAGAAAATATTAGTGGACTACATGGTTAAGTTATTTTCAAATGTACTATCGTGTTCCAAATAATAGTGCAGGATGGAAAAATATTTAGAATTTAACAATACTGCAGGGTGGAAAAGTATCAAACATTTAAATATAGTGCAGGGTGGAAAAATATTAAGAATTTAACAATACTGCAGGGTGGAAAAGTATCAAAAATTTAAATATAGTGCAGGATGGAAAAATATTTAGAATTTAACAATAGTGCAGGGTGGAAAAATATCAAGGAAGAAAGTTTTGTTTTAAACTTCCCACAGTTAAAAGAACAACTCTTCATCAAGGAATAAGACATCGTTACATCTCTAGACAATCATGGAAACAATGAATTCTTGTTAATAGTAGAATAGTCGGCGAAACAGGGCGGGGGCACGTTACCCCAGTCAATTTTGTCTCGTTAGTGAAGAATCCCTTTGAATGTTTCAGTTTTCATAACAATGGTCTGATTAACATAGCAGATGAGGTGTCCTCCCCCAATTCAAATCTGCCACGCCACCTATGAATAGTAGAACAAGACGTTTGATGCCTCTAATAAATTAGTTTTTTTTGTTTTTTTTTCAGGTACGTCGACTTTCTCAACGTCATGTCGTACGACTTTCACGGTAAATGGGAAAAACAAACAGGTCACAACAGCCCCTTGTACGCACCTAGAAATGAGACGAACTGGAGAAAACAGTTATGTATTGTACGTAAAGAGGACAATTGAATTGTTTGGTGTCACTTGCTGCTAAACTACCTTAATTTATGTTACACATCGATCAACTTAACACTAATACGTGGGTTGAGTTTCATTAAAAGTGAAATATTCTGTTTAACATAAGATATTTCTGTTATCTAAGTTGATATTAACTTTACCTAGAATTCACATTACTTCCACATTTTATTACCACAGAAGGTTGAGTACGTTATATTAAAACTGTTTTGAATTTGCAAATCAGCAAGCCACGTGACAACCACAGCAGACATAAAGTCGCAGTGAAACGGCATGTTTCAGAACTATATTTTGATACATTTATTCGTTTCGCAGGTAGTTTGATACCACCGAAAACTGATCGCTTTTGTGAGGGGAAGGGATTGAAGATATTCATAAATTCACATCACAAATATTTCTTTAGATCGGGGATTTAGAATTTCCAAGACATTGCTATCTCTTATGCTTAATGGCATTGGAAGACAAAGGAATATGGATCAACTTAGGGTACCAGACAGGCAAACGAGTTGCCCTCCCAAGTGTTTTACACCACTTGTTATTTTAGGAACAATATATGTTTGTAAAATGTATAAGTTCTTTAAGAACACCTAATCAGCCCCTGAACCACCTTTAAGGTTTGTTCCCTTGCTTCCCTCTTAAAATTTACCAGGACCATTCAGAAAGAGATCTGCAACAAGTCATACCCCAGCCAAAGTGTGGCGTCTTGCAAGGAGTGAGAATCCATGGACAGAAAAGTCAATTGTGAAAGTCGTCCACGTGCTCTGGGCAACAGTGTTCAACATAATGATCAACACAACTCATGTATTCAACGATATATTCGTTCAACCTTTGCATGCTCAAGAAGCTGGATAAAGGAAGGGGTATTCATGCTATTCCATTCAAAAACATGGCGCTTACTTCGCCAGACGCTGGAAAATTCTAGTCCTCGTACACTATATGGACTATGGAAAGCCTACAAGAAGGAGTAGTGTGCTTTACACATAACAGCCTTACACTGAAGCTTATTGCAATATAAACTACGGAACGGGTCTATTGTTAAGATGCGTGCTCGTCAGATAGAACATGACCGGACGTGGTGGAATGGCCTATAACGATCTGATGAGGCTCCAAAATCATTTTAATATCACGTTTTCAACCTTCTTGGAATTCTATATGCTATACTTTATTATTATCTGTACTCTGTAGTGCCCCCTATTGGCTCAGCGGTACGATATCTGCAGTGGGCACTTCACAGATAGTCCATTGTGCACATTTGTGTCACATAGAATAACAAATACTCCCTAGCGGATGTTTCTGACAGTAACTCACGTGATTATTTTCGTGCAATGTTCTGGTTCTCAACGAAACCAGAAAATCGTTTACTTACCTGTTTATAGTTAATATTTGTTGAAGAGAAGAAACAACTTATCGTTGTTGTTATGTCTGACAAATATAGTATCGTTGTTGTTATGTCTGAAGTTATACAAACATATTATCGTTGTTGTTATACAAATATATTATCGTTGTTGTTACGTCTGAAGTTATACAAACATATTATCGTTGTTGTTATGTCTGAAGTTACACATTAACAACAACGATAATATGTTTGTATAACTTCAGAGGTAACAACAACGATAATATGTTTGTATAACTTCAGAGGTAACAACAACGATAATATGTTTGTATAACTTCAGATGTAACAACAACGATAATATGTCGTCTGAAGTTATACAAACATATTATCGTTGTTGTTACCTCTGAAGTTATGCAAATATATTATCGTTGTTGTTATGTCTGAAGTTATACATACATATTATCGTTGTTGTTATGTCTGAAGTTATACATACATATTATCGTTGTTGTTATATCTGAAGTTATACAAATATATTATCGTTGTTGTTATGTCAGAAGTTATACCAACATATTATCGTTGTTGTTATCTCTGAAGTTATACAAACATATTATCATTGTTGTTATGTCTGAAGTTATACAAACATATTATCGTTGTTGTTATACAAACATATTATCGTTGTTGTTACATCTGAAGTTATACAAACATATTATCGTTGTTCTTACATCTGAAGTTATACAAACATATTATCGTTGTTGTTACATCTGAAGTTATACAAACATATTATCGTTGTTGTTATGTCAGAAGTTATACAAACATATTATCGTTGTTGTTACGTCTGAAGTTATACAAACATATTATCGTTGTTGTTACATCTGAAGTTATACAAACATATTATCGTTGTTGTTACGTCTGAAGTTATACAAACACTACTTATAGGACTATGGAGTAAAAATGTGGGAGAAACTTGGTGCCCCCAAGGACAAACTGGTTATTGGAATGGCAACATATGGGCGAAGTTTTACACTTTCTGATCCCCGAAAGAACAGTGTTAACGACCAGGTAACAGGCGGCGGAAAAGAAGGAGAGTTCACTAAAGAAGGTGGTTTTCTGGCTTATTACGAGGTAAGACCCTGCATTAGTGGACTGTGGAAATAAAAATAACCATAGAGTTTCTGATATTATATGTTAAAATAATTTATGTTTATTATTAAACAAGATTAATAAGAATCTAAAAATAGATCCAGCCTCATCATAATACGAATATATATAACTCCTGAACTCAACGTTATCCTAGTTTGTCGTAAAATAAATCCTTCAAACTCTTGTACATCAGTTTACAGACAAAGTTATCCTAGCTTGTCGTTAAATAAATCCTTCAAATTCTT